CTAGATTGTAAGTTGGGTAAACTTTGTCGTTCGCCCTAACAAAAATCATAAAGTAACAAAGGGCAAAGATTCCGCGAAGTACAGAAACTTTTGTAAACCAAACCGCAGAGGATAAAAGTCTTGACCCGGACTCAACGACTCCTATATTCTTCGCGTAACATTAGTGATCATTGTCTTTATTCTCTTTTCTTCTTCTCTTTCGTCAATTCAATTATATTTCTCAGGTAAAATCCAAATACAACCTCTCTTTGATTTTTAATTTCGCAATTCTTTTATCGATTTTCGATTCTTTATAATTATATGGGGTAGACTCTTTATTTATTCTTTTTTGGATTTGATTTGGTAAGTTGTTTGGTTGATTCTAATTTCTGGGTTGATTGTCAGAATTGTTGATATTATTGTTGGGTTTTGATTATTTGTACATAATTTGTTGAAATTGTTAATACCCAGTTCATAATCAGGATGATAATGAATAAAATCTGATCTTTTTGGTTGTTTCTTTGATATATTTGGAAGATTATGTTTAGGGTTTGGTTCAATTTGGTTTGATTGATAGAATTATTATTTATAATACGATATGGGTTTTGATTATCTATGGAGAATTTGTTGGAATTGATACTGCCCAGTTCATAATAAGGATGATAGTGAACAGATTCTAATCTTTTTTCTTTTTTTTTTTTTTTTTGTTGACATGTATTTATCAGGTTTTGTAAAAGGGTTGGGTTCAATTTTGATAGAAGAAAAAGATGTGGGCAGCCTCTTGCCTTGCCTCGTGCTGTGCTGCATGCGCTTGTGATGCATGTCGCACTGTGGTGTCTGGGATCAGCAGGAAGTCAGCTAGGATTGCGTATTGTGGACTCTTTGCTCTCTCTTTAATTGTTTCATGGATTCTTCGTGAGGTTGCTGCTCCTCTCATGGAGAAGATCCCTTGTAAGCAACCTTTTCAATTGTATTTTGGCATTCATTGTCGTTGTATATTATCTATCTTTTTGAATATGTTTAGCTAGGGCCTGGGTTGTATCAATTATGAATTTACCCACCTCTTTGATATGCAAGTTCTGTGTTAGTCTTTGTTTTGAAGGGACATCAATCCCAAATGATAAAGCATATAGTAAGCCAAAAAATATTAGTTTTGGTTAAAATTCAAGTTTCAAAGCTCTTGAGAAACCTCCCTAAAATTTTTGGAAAATTTTATAAGCCTCTTGTAAACCTTCCTAGCATGTGTTGTCTTTGATTTTTTTCCGAAAATAGGTCCGTGTATGATGAGGTAGATGAAACTTACACTAAAATTTATACTATTAACATATCCTCTCTCATGTAAGATTGGGCTTAGTCACGGACTTGTCATGTGAGTCTAACTTGGGCCATTGAGCTCAATGATTTAATTTTGGCTAAGAGAATGGAGGATATCCAGGATCGGAACATGAGAGTTCTTAGTTTCACAAGCCTTGAAACCATAATGGAAAATCACGAAACAATAAAGCATAAGCTAGGTAAGTGCCTAACAATAATGCTTAGCTTTAGCAATTTGTATGCTTTAAACATATGAGCCAATTTTCCATGTATCACATGAAAATGTATTGTCTGGTGTCTATTGATGGGTGAAGAAGTTTGTATTCCCATGTCACTGTATGTTCTGATTTTTTGGTTTACTTGGTCATGCTGACAGGATTTGTTTCAAGCATCTTTGGATGTTCCACTTCTCAGTTTTTGATGCTTACTTACAATTGATTTAAACTCAGACTCAGCTCAATAAGTTAAATGAGTTTGGATGTCATCAAGATTGGTTTTGTTTAGTTTAATGATGAAACTAATCATATTTTGGTTATTGGTGCAGGGATTAATCATTTTCATCAGACGCCTGACAGGGAGTGGTTTGAAACAGATGCCGTGCTGCGAGTTAGCTTGGGAAATTTTCTCTTTTTCACTATTTTGTCGATTTTGATGATTGGTGTGAAAACTCAAAGAGATCCTCGCGATGGTTTGCACCATGGTGGATGGATGATGAAAGTCATCTGCTGGTGCCTTCTCGTGATTTTTATGTTTTTCCTCCCAAATGAGATTGTCAGCTTCTATGGTAAGCGCTGTTCTGAACCAGAGTTTCATTTGGTAATATACAATGTAATTGGTTTCAATAAATACTTTGACAAGGTGTTATAATATATATATGTTTTATTTATCATATTTAAACCATTAATTAAATCTTTTGTTGACAGAATCAATATCAAAGTTTGGTTCAGGATTGTTTCTTCTTGTTCAAGTTGTTCTTCTGTTGGATTTTGTGCACAAATGGAATGACACATGGGTTGGATATGATGAGCAGTTCTGGTTAGTGTAGCATTTCCTCTAATATTCTGGTGTTGGTTCTTAGTATTTTTTGACAAGCTATGCTTTCTTTTTACGTTCTTTCACCAGTTTTCTGATTTTTTCTTTTCTTCTTTTCCCTGGTTATTGCATTTCTTTGTTTATATAGGTATGTTGCTCTACTAGTCGTTTCCCTTGTTTGTTATGTGTTGACCTTTGGCTTCTCGGGACTTCTTTTCCATTGGTTCACACCATCCGGTCATGATTGTGGGCTCAACACCTTCTTTATCGTCATGACCTTGATTTTTGTGTTCCTATTCGCTGTGGTTGCCCTGCACCCTGCTGTAAGTGTAGCTTGCATTTATCATGTCCATTTTTATGTACTTGCTTCTGTACTTGTATGATCTTGTATATCACTAGTAGTAAAATATCATACCAACATGGCAGTGGTGATAGGGGATGATAGGTTGACAGAAGTTCTCAGTTATGTTTTCTGGAAGAAGGTCCTTTAATGGTGAAAATCATATTATGCGTCTTAGTCCATCTTATCATGTTAGCATCTTTCACAACTAGCCTTGGAAGAACCGAAAAATCTACTACTTTTTTTTTTTTTTTTTTTTTTTTTTTTTTTAATGAGTAGCATTTTTGTGCTTTGCTTATGAGTTTCCAAGGCACAAATGATTAGAGCATATTTCAGACATAGGATGAGTGAAAGGAATTATCTGTTTACATCGTAGGCCATGTCAATCATGCTTTTTTAATATGCTGTTGCAGTAGAATAAGGGTGCTAAGACGTTCTGATGACAGAAACAAAGGAGGTTTGGTATTGAAACAAACTCCCATTCACATATCAAGTGTAAAACCTTTGATTCATCACGATCCTCAACAATAAGGCAACTCATAAATTTCTTATAACTAGCATATTCTTTTTACTATGATTAAATGTTAAGTACTTGCATGATTTTGTTCTTTTTTTACATGTACAGCTACATAGTGTATCAGGTATTTCTTTGTTAAAAATAAAAGCCCTTGACTTCTATCGTGGTTAACATTTTGATGCAACAGGTAGGTGGCAGTATTTTGCCTGCTTCAGTTATATCTTTGTATTGCATGTACCTATGCTACAGTGGACTTTCAAGTGAACCAAGGGACTATGAATGCAATGGTCTCCACAGGCATTCTAAAGCTATTTCCACGGGCTCCCTTACCCTTGGCCTGGTTACCACTGTTCTATCAGTAGTATATTCTGCAGTGCGAGCTGGATCTTCTACAACTTTGCTTTCTCCACCAAGTTCACCCCGTGCAGGTTAGTGTTGAAGAATTGTGTAAATACTTATTAGCAGTTTTTACAATGTGCATATGCTATCTGAAATGTGTCTAAAGCACCTATGCATTTGTTTTATCTTACCTGGAACTAATATTAAGAGTTGTGTCTACGATGTTCATTTCTTTCAGATGAGATTCTCAGAAGAAGAACTAATCTAGAAAACTTTTTTCCATATTTTAGTTTCAATCACATCGAACACGCTTTTCATGTTTTCTTATTTATAAAAATAACTTTAATTTATTATGAATGAGGAATAAGAAAAGACATCAACCTTAGTCTTCAATAATTAATTTGTAGCTTTAATTATTCAAACAAATATCAACTTGGAAGCAACATAAGCATTTCCGAACCCAACTTTTGAAAACAAAATGAGCAAATATTTCTTATTTGAATATAAAATTCTGGTTTTCCTTTGACGGTGCAGGAAAGCCTTTGCTTCCAATGGACAGCAAGAGTGAGGAGTCAGAAGAAAAGGAAAAGGCTAAGCCTGTGTCATATTCATATGCCTTCTTCCACATCATTTTCTCTCTTGCAAGTATGTATTCGGCAATGCTTCTGACTGGGTGGTCTACGTCAGTAGGGGAGAGCGGGAAGTTGGTCGATGTTGGTTGGCCATCTGTGTGGGTTAGGGTCGCAACTGGGTGGGCAACTGCAGCTCTTTACATATGGTCTCTGGTTGCTCCGATCTTGTTTCCGGACAGGGAGTTCTAAGTCCAAAAATAAACTCTGCATACAAATATCGTCGAAGTACTATATATGTGTGATGCAGCTTTTCGAGTCCCTGACACCAGTGGATTCTGTGTAAATACTGCTTATGATGTAGTAACTAAATCCTGCTTGTGAACATGCTAAATTCCTGAATGGTGTATGTGCTTTGTTTCTGTTATTTGTTGTTTGAATTCTTCTCAGAAGTTTATGACCCTCTACATGGTTAATGGTGTCTGCTTTATTGTCTACCTTGGCCAAAGCAGAAAGCAGATAAATAAAGAGATACCTAATGTTTATATAAACTATTTTCTTTTATTGTTTTTTCATTTTTTCTCCCTCTTAAATCGTAAAATGTGTATTTGGATATAAATTTTTTATTTTATTTTCACAAAACACAGATTTAAAGAGTAACGATATCCTTGTGCGCTAAACCTCTTTCGCCGTTGCTGGAGTCTTCTTCTTGTTAATCTCGTTCACCAGTTCGTTAGTCCAATCGCCATTTCCGGCTTATCCTTTGCCCTCTTTCCATTGTATGTTGAGTTATTTGTTTGGATTGCAATTTTAAACCCTAACTTCTCCATTTTGCCTCTACCGTTGATCCACTATCTCTGTCGCAGCAACCTCGGGTCTTTGTCACCATCTGTTTGCTCCCGACAACACTCCAATCGCGGTTTTCGGTAAGTTCCTCACCTCCTTATGCTGTAGGAAGATTATTAAATTGAGAGGGTTGCTTTGTTTCGCTTTAGAGAGGGTAAAACTGCCGTGGAATAACTGATTTAATGTTGAAATGACATGAAAATAGTTTGAAATGGTAGTAGGTTGCTAGTTTAATGTCGTGATTTGTTACGTTGTAGTTAGGGTTGCTTTGTTTTCTCTATTTTATGTTTGGCTGAGCATGTTCTTTTTTATGTGTCTTAGGGCTGAAATTGTGTGTATGAACTGCATTTTAGGTTACTATTATGGTTGCAATGGTGGCTGGAATTTTATGTGTTTATGGTTGCATTTTTGGTCGATCTGTGCATGTAATGGTGGCTGAAATACTATGTATATATGGTCAATTGACTTGTCAAGGTAATTGAAATGCTTAAAATGATTTATTGTTACAATTTTGTGTGCATTCGGTAATTATTTTAATAACATTGTGGTTAGAGTTTGGCATGTCTCGATTGCTTGTGTTTTGGGTGATATTGCTTTTATTTGGACTGTTTTAGGTGGCATCTAGGTAAATTTTTGGCTGCATGGTTGGGGTTGGTTTAGTATGGTGAGATGATGGTGTTAGTTGGTATAAATTTATGGGTATTTAGTATGTGATTGTGGTTATGTTTCCAAGGTTGAATAAGTTGTTATTGTTTATTATTGGAAATGATGTTTTTAGTTGGTATAAATTTATAGATATTTGGCATGTGATTTATGGGTATTCGCCATGTGCTTGTGGCCATGTTTTAAATTTTGAATAAATTATTATTGTTATTAATTAAGTTTAGGGTTTTGGGTGTTAACGTCCTGATTTGGAAATAGATTTTGGTTGAGTACATATTGTCATGAACCTTTGTGAAACTACAAAGATACCTCTCAACCTCTTCCCAATTCCCATCAAGTACCAAGTCCTCAAATAACTTTAAGTCAAAGTAATATCCACTTTCACACGTGAGCCTGCACACCAGATGGTCATGATTAAGTTACAAAATAAGCATAAGAATTTGAAGGTGTAAAACATGCATACATGAGTGGATGGGTTAGAGATGAAAGTTTAACATACATGGGAGCACTTTCTTTATAACCTTCCTCATCAAAGAACTGTAAAATTAGAAAAACAAGCAATTGGGTAAGAGAATGCATCTGTACGGCAGTCTTTCTCGCCTCCAAAACCTGCAAACAAACCAAAATAAGAAAATTTGATAAACAGAAATAACCATTAACAGAAATAATCAACCTTCAAATCAAGTGACACTCCAGTTGAATGCTAAGAGAAATGATGGAGTACAAATAATAAAAACTATTTTGGAGTGGGTTTATCGTCTTTTCTTACTCACAATTTCTACAATCGTTATTGGAACATTTTTATTGGACAACCTAAGAATTAATCAAAATAGGCAAAGCATGCACAGTCAAGAAACTGGATAAAATCAAATCTGATTATATTCTTGTGATCAAGATAAACCTGAAAATGTACATACTATTGACCATGAGAATTATATTGAAATATTTATTGTCCACAACACAGTAGTTAACAACAAATAATTAATTTAGTCCTAAAACGAAACTTGTAGTACAATAAGCTTAAGAAAGCACAATAAGATTATACCAATTGAATTGCTAAAGAAGACAATTTTAAGGGATTGATGTGAATTTTTTGTGATGTTTATGTTGGTTTGTGTGATGGATGAGAAATTTTGATGTGTGGGATGTTGAGAATTGTATGAGTGTTTGAGGTGAATTTTTGTTTGGTGGTGAGATTATTAAATTCTGATGATTATGTTGTTTTCATCGAAATTCAGTTTGATTTCTTTCATATACGATTGTTTGTTATTGGTTTAACGACTTGTACATGCTTGATTGACTTTATTATACTTTGATACATGCATTATGTGAAACAACTATGTCTTGTTTAATAGTCAGGCAGAAAATGCACTTGGTTGCCCTTTTAGTCTTCCATTTAGACATATTGGAAACCATGTACACCATGCTCGTCCTTCTTGGGTTGGCTAATGTATTTAATATAAAGGGTAGACGCAGGGCTGGTGTATCTTATGCCAATGAGTCTGCATCTAGGTTTAAGGTTAGGTCGTTGAATTTACACACCATGCTTTTCCAAAGTGATGAGTTATGTTTTGAGAGCTGTAGGATGAATAGGGCTCTATTTGACAAATTATGTAATTTATTTACTATACATGGCAACTTAAAATCAACCCGTCATTCATCCGTAGAAGAATTAGTAGGGGCTTTTCTTCACGTCCTTGCCCATAACCAAAAGATCAGAGTTATGAAATGTCAAATGCGCAGATCCACTGAGATGGTAAGCCACAATTTTCACTTAGACTTAAATGTCATGTTAAGGTTGCATACCTTATTGTTTAAAAAACTAGAGCCCATTCCCAAGAACTCAGCCAATGACAGGTGGAAATGGTTTAAGGTACAGTCTAATCACTCGGTTTAGGATGCATATGTAGTTCAGTAGCTTATTAAAATCAAACTTAGTGTTTTCTCTAAAATATTTTTCTTGTTCTCTATTAGAACTATTTGGGAGCCTTAGATGGAACATACATAAAGGTTTATGTGCCTGCTGATGATATACCTAGGTATCGGTCAAGGAAAAATGAAATCGCAAGAAATGTCCTTGATGTATGCACACCTGACATGCAGTTTATATATGTCCTCCTTGGGTGGGAAGGTTCCGTTGTAGATGATAGAGTTCTTAGGAATGTCATTACTAGGAGAAATGGATTAAAGGTCCCCCAAGGTAATATAACAAAATAAATTGTATTTTTAATGTTAGGGTCTGCCACAGTAGTACACTTATTAATTGTTATTGACTTGAAATTGTTTATTTTTGGGCAATACTATTTATGTGATGTTGGATACACTAACGGGGAAGAGTTTTTGGCCCCTTATCGAGGACAAAGATATCATTTGAGTGAATGGCAGCAAGGTCGCTAACTAGCATCAACACAATAATTTTTCAACATGAAACACTCTCAAGCAAGAAATTGTATTGAGCGATGTTTCGGCATCCTAAAAGCTCAATAGGGAATATTGAAGGACACATCTTACTACACCGTCAAAACTCAATGTATAATTATTATTGCATGCTGTCTTTTGCATAATTTCATAAGGTCTGAGTTGCCCATTGACTCGGTTGAAGCGGAGCTGCAGGAAGAGGTCAACGATGAAGGGCAAGAGGGTGACGGTGGAGAATTGATCATGCACATTGAGCCCATGCCACGTGGACTGCATTTAGAGACAATTTGGTGGCTGAAATGTTCTATACTTGGATGGCTGCGCGAAATGCATGATTATGCTTATGTTTAGTATATGTGTAGTGTTGTGACTTTTTAAATTTCTGTCTTTTATGATTTTCCATGTATGAATGAACCAAAAAAAAAAAAAAAATGCTTTGTTTGTGGACTTGTACTTTAACTTACATTTGTCGTAATGTGGATGGTTGAATGTTAATTGATCCTGTTCATGTATTATTCTTGTTGATTTACTTAAAATTATGAATATCACGTATATCAGTAACTCGAACACTATGTATATACAAAGTTGTAACTTGATTTTTTTTTTTTTTCCAATGTCACTAATTTGCCTTTTTATTGTTTTAGCAATATGGAGAGGTCAGCAATACAACCCAATGAGTCCAACAAGAGCATTAGCATGCATGATGACACTGTGCCTACCGAAAAGGGTAGAAAGGGAAAGGCAAAGGCTAAGGGAAGTAAGCGGCACTGGACAAAAAAGGAGGACGTTGTGTTGGTGGAGTGTCTGCTGGAGCTGAGTAGCCACTATGGAGAATTGAGCGGGGGTTCAAATGCGGTTACCAAGATGAGAACGAAAAAATGATGCGGGAAAAACTTCCTCATTGTGGTTTGAAAGCATATTGACTTGAGGGTCAAGATGTTGAGGAGGCAATATAATGCAATCAATGACATGCTTGAGAAAGGTAATGGCTTCGGCTGGAATGATAAGGAAAAATGTATTACATGTACCAAGGATGTCTTCGATGACTGGGTCCGGGTAAGTATGCTTGTGTTGGTTTATTTGTGTACATTGATTTTCTGAACTTTATATTTATATGTACTCATACAAATGTTATATGTCTTATGATGATTAACTTTTTTGTAGAGTCATCCTTTTGCAAGAGCATTGCGATATAAACCATAGGTGCCTATGATTCTTTTGTCGCCATCTACGACAAAGACAGGGCCAACAGAGCTGGTGCAGAGACAGCTGCTGATGCTATTGAAGATTTGGATAATGAGACTACTGACAACACTGATAAACAGATAGACATCGATCTCGATTTTGATGGGCAAACCAGTGCCCTACAGAAGGATGATGTGGTTGATTCTACTTTTCAGGTTGCCACTACCAGTCAAAGTAGAGTTGCGATTAGCAGTGAGAGGAGGAAAAAAGATGCTAGAAAAACAATAGACTGGCAAGCCACATTGGGCAAGGTTAAGATTACCTTGGTTGGGAACTGAGCTGAGCTGAAGGGTATTGTTGACTATTTCAAGAAGAAGACCCAAGAGAAAGACCGTAAAGGGTAGGTGTATTTGGTCATTTCTTAGTTGGATGGGTTCACAGTGACTGAGATATTGACAGCCACCATAGAGATTTGGAAGGAACCTCACAAGATAGATATCTTGTTTGGGTTACCAATGCACATGCAGAGAGATTTTGTGAAGATGCAACTTAGAGCAAGTAATGAGTACCGCCTAACGTTTGATTTCTAGTGAAGTTTTGTAATGGGTTTTTTTTTTTTGTGTACGAGGTTATTAGTATGCTGACACAATGATTGTCTTCCCGTATTTGTATTTTGCCTATATTTTAACTGCATATAAAGACATCATCCTATATGTATTTTGCCTATATTTTAACTGCATATAGGATGATGTCTTTTGTTATGTTTTTGTCAAAACCATGTTTGCCTAGTAATTAAACGATAATGCCCTATGTTCGCAGTTAGTGCGGGAAGGTAGGGATCACTAATATGGAATGTAAAAAACTCTTAACTTTGGTAGTGATGTATAAAATGATGTTTGCATTTAATGTTTGTGTTGCCTTAGTATGGTGAATGTGGCATTTTGATTTACTTATGGAAACTAACATTTAGTTCACCAGGAAAGTATGATAAAGGTATACTAGCATTTATAAAGTGTCAGCTCTCTAATTTCTATTTTCTTTGCCTTTTTGATGTGCTTTGTTTTGTGGGTTGGTGTGCAGGAATGATAGGAGGACCACCATGTTGCCCAATAGTGACAACCAAAAGTGCAAAAGTTCATGAACAATGTCAAGAGAGTCACACAGTTTGTACAGATAACAATATGAAAGGTATTATGATTGGATAGTTATGAAGTTAATTTGTTGTATGGTTGTGAATAATGCTTATTAACGTAGCTCATAATTGATTGATGTGCAAATGTGGCAGGACCAGTCATTCAGTACATGAAGAATGTCAGGAAAATCCTTCAGACTTAAAGGGCAGCAAATGCAAAGGTACCAAACTTGCAACTCGTAGATCGACTAATGCATTCAGTTATGAAAGATGTTTAGAATTGTTTGTTAATGTAAATGAATGATGAACATATGTAGGTGCCACAAATCAACAAAGGTCAAGTAGGCGATTAGCAAACAGAAAGGGAGGGGGGTTGTTGAGCAGAAGCATGTTTGACCTCCACATGGGGTACAAAACTGTTTTACAATTCATATGCTTCAAGTCGTGTTTACATAATATGTTTAGCTCATATGATTGACTGCATATTTCTGATCTACAGGAAGTTGTTGAGGAGTTTTAAAGGAGACAACTTGCACAATTTCATCACCTTGGACTGCATGTGGTTTTTTATGTCCATAGAAGAGGTCTACAAAGGGAACATGCTGAAGTGGATTGACGAATTGGACGTATTCTCAAGAAAATATGGGTTTATTCTGATAGTCCTTCGGTGAGTGAAGATTTTGTGTCCGTAGGCATTTGTTTTATACTTACCAAACACGGATATGGGTTGATATCGGTTTGCTTTAGACTTAACATTGATAATATGCATAAATTATGCTGACAGGGGTCATTGGAGTTTACTGATTTTGTGCAACTTTGGTGGAGATGTGAACTTGGAAATTAAAACTCGATGCATGGTGCTGCTTGATTCACTTGGATAGGAATACGAAATGAGGCTGCAACCTCTGATTCGATGGTAAACTTTGATTATTTTACAATTATTTGTAAGCACATTTGAGCACATGATGAAATTGTATTGTTGAAGATGCGGTACTGGAATGGGTTTCAAATTGTCCAATTTTAATTATACAGGTTTGTGAGAGATATTTATGAATCAGGAACAATGCCCAAACATCCAGCATTGGTTGATAAACTGCCTTTGCTAGTGCCTAGGGTGATAAAACATTATATTGTGTTGGTTAATGGTAAATAGTGATTGATATGTTCAATATTTCATGTATTTGTTGTTACTGATAAATGCACTCACTAGGTCCCTCAACAATGAAATGACGTGGATTGCGAATATTTCGTACTGTATTATATATCCAAGTTTGTGAAAACTACCACAAAAGATTTTTCAATCAACGAGGGGTAACCTTATTTTCTAAGTACTGCAATCATTTAATTGATAAGGGGTTCACAGATTTAAAAAGCATCGTTATTCTGCTTGTAGTTAATTTATTGGTACATTGCTTGGATTCAACATAATGTAAATGCACAAGTACTTCAAAATATGTGATATTACAAATGTACCAATAATTCTCATATTTTTCACACGTAATTTCGATCCAGGATAAGTGGAAAAAGTTAACAAATTTCCTCAAATTTGGAAACTTGCATCTGAATTCCAGCCATGGTGTAAACCCAAAAAATACAATTTTTCTTTTGCCTTGAAAAAAAAAAAGGCTTCAATTAGACTAAAGTAGAAATCAACATGTACGAACTATGATTTGTGGCAGTACATAAATTAGAGTTTTAAATTGGGAGATGGGAAGTATATTAGTTGCAATAACAGGGTGGGGTGTTGGATATATACTCAACAGAAAATACAACAGCTTTTTTTTAGAGTTTCATTAGTCTGTGTAAATTTATCGATAAATGACTTAACAATATAATATTTGGCTAAAATATAAGAAAAAGAATTTTGTTAATTGATCATTTTTTTTATTAACCAAACATATTAATTATTTATACCCAATAATCATCTAAAAGGCATTTTAGTAAAATTCAATCAAGACATATGCTCTTACAGCCAACCAAACAGATTAATTAGTAATACAAGTAATCCCTTAATTATTTAATCTCGTAATCATCTAAAGGACATTTAGTAAAATGCAATCAAGACATATGCTCTTACAGCCAACCAAACAGATTAATTAGTAATACAAGTAATCATCCCAAGGGCATTCTAGTAAAAGGGTATTTCAGGACATCTGCTATTACTATCAACCAAACACATTAATTATTAATACATCCCAATTAAACCAAACACAATAATAATTTAAACCCGATAATCTACAATGTAATCTTTCTTTCCGGTAATCTTATTACTAAGATTAAAAAAATTATATGATCCAAACGCCCCCATAGATGTAACATATTGAGCAAATTTTAACCCGGTAATCTACAATGTAATCTTTCTTTCCGATAATCTTATTACTAAGATTAAAAAAAAATATATGATCCAAACGCCCCCTAGATGTAACATATTGAGCAAATTTTTATTTTTTTAATCATTTTCAATAATTTTTAAAAATGAAAAAAACCAAATTATAATATTCAAAATTTCATAAAAGGATGCACTATTATTTTTCATCATCTCTTGCAACTGTGGCAACTAGACTTTTAACCTCTGTTTTAAAAGCTGGACCAGACCGGTCGATCTAACCGGTTCGATCGGGACCCGGTTGTGTGTCTAGTCCGAACTAATATAAAACCCCTATTAATTAAAAACCGTTTAAACCCGTTATTAAACCGGATGAACAGTGCGACCCGCCTGGTCAAACCGGACCGCTTGGTAAACCGGGTCAATATTTAAAATAAAAAAATCGTAAATCTGATTTTTTTCACGTGACTCCACTCCACTCCTCTCTCTTCAATCTCTCAACTCTCCAAAATCGCAACTCCCTTCTCAAAGTAACTACACTCAGTCTCAATTCAATCTCTCAACTCCACTCTCCCTTGGACCCTCGCACTTCCCTTCTCCCTTGATCTACGACAGCAGCACCTCCCTCGCTGGATTGCGTCGCTCGACGACAGCAGCACCTCTCTCGCTGGATTTCGACAGCGACACACTTCCCTTCTCCTTTGCTCGACGAAGGCAGCATCTCACTCATAGGATTTTGACGACGATGCACCTCCCTTCTCCCTTGCTCGACGACGACGCCTCCCCCCTTCGTTGGAATCGATGATGACAAAACTTCTCTTGCTCAAAATCGACGAAGAAGATGCCCCTCACTTTTGTAAAAATATTTCCACTGTCTTTATTTGATGAATCTATTGCTTTGATGGATAATTTGTTATTGCTTTGATGGATAATTTGTTCGCCGAATTTGTATGTAAAAAACACTTGCATCGTATTTTGTCATTTAATTTGTAATAGGTGATGTTTGGAAACTTAAGATTGTAGTTAAATCATGTTGGGATTGTTATTGAGTTTAGGTTGGACAGTAATTAAGTTGGTATTCTTATTGAAAATCTAAAATTTTCAAAAAAGAGATATTCTTGTTGGCTGTGCTAACATCACTAGTCCAACCGGCCGATCTAATCGGTTGGACCAATTGACCCAAGAAGTAAAGCAGGTAGCCCTCTAGTTCAGGTTTTAAAACAATGCTTTTAACATGATTAGTGCAAGTGATGACCACTCTTTGATGGAGTTTGTGACAACCTTTTTCTTATTTTATTATCGGAATATTCAAACTTTACATACAACTCGACTATTTTTCTTGAGATTATGAAGTTATTGATCGAATACTAGCTCTGATAACTATCCCTATTAAAAGTCATAAAGACTTGAACTCGAAAGACTACGTAAACTTACATCCTCCTATGCTTTTTTACCATTAGATTACTCAGTGGTGATTATTGTAATTGACAACTTGGTGGACCACTCAGTGGTGGTTACTGTGATTGACAACTTGGTGGCTATGTAAACGGTAAAATGATTTTATAACTTGAAGAAAACAAAAGGTCAACTCAATAAATGTTCAATTAAAACAGAAGCCTGATGTTCAAATAAAAGGGTTTTGTGACAATAAATAATTAGGAGTGGCGCGACGGAGGGAGTAAATAACAGTTGAAACTAACAACTCTCAAAATTGATTTTCCATGATTCATCATCACAGTTCATAAATTAATCACTCCAAACATTAACCGAGTAAGAAGCTGTCAAATATTCATCTAAAACCCAAAACTATAAATTAATTTCAATGTTTCATCATGAGAGTCAATAATTTAATCAATCTGCAACCTACCCAAGTAAAGATTCTGATAGAAAGGCGATTCATCTGAAAAACCAAAACTATGAATTCAATCCTCAAAATCTCCAGCATTTTCCAGTAGGTAGTTGGCCGCCAATTCTTCGTTACGATCACATGCCAAAAATGCCTCGATGACAAGGGCTCTATCAAACCCCATTGCTTCCAGCTACAAGTAGGAGAAATTAACTCGTTATATTATATATAAAACAAGCTGGAAACTTGAATAGTATAAGAAATTGTCTATATATCACAAAAAAGACGACATACTCGTTGGATAGCCTCCTGTTCGGCGGGGGTGACATTGATTGCATGTGGCATGTCTTGCTCAGGCTGATCAAATATATCCCTGAAAAAACCAACGAAAATTCAGATGACCTAGAATTTTCAACTTCACGTATAAAAGCAAATGAAATGCTTAAAGCATTTAAACATGGGAGGCGGTATCTCTAACACAAGGTTTGTAGCACTGAGGTGAAAAGAGTTTTTTGAAACTGTTTCAAAAAACTAACTTCCTGAGATTATACTTGACTTAACTTTCAATTCAAAAACTCACCCCGTTAAGTGCATAGTGATTAAAAAAATAACACTATATTTACTAACGATAAAAGCTGATCTTCTATTAAAATGAATCAGTGAAATTAAAAAATAAATTCAACCAAATTTAAATAGATAACACAGCAAACAAACAGCAAAGCAAAGTCAATTTGAATAGAAAAGTTTGCATGCATGATTATGAGTGTAGTATTACTCCAGTATCAACACAATTGCGAAGTACACAGGATTTGTAGATCTTCTAAGACTTCCTGTATCTATTATATTTCATAGCACCAATAAAACACAGTGACATTTTAGGCATTTAACTCTAAAAATTGTCTAGTATCTAACACGCATCAATAAATTTCTAGCATAGCTTCTTTTTGACAAATCCCACAAGAATCTAAATTAAAGGTGCATTATATCAAGACGGGTTATTATGTAACAATTTTGGGAATCATAACTGCTATACAAGAAAGTCTTACTATTGCTTTTCTTATAACATATGATGGAGAAACTATAATAAAGTTTTAGTAGTTATTAAAAAAAAAAAAAATTACTTCAAGAATATTAAAACATAACTAAAACAAGTGAGACATATTTAAATTCCTCAAATATATTATTTTCTAAAATAACTACTAGAACTTGATTATAGATTCTCGATCAATATTACATACTACACATATGTCCAATAAGGTACTCACCCTTCAGAACCATCAATAGGTTCATTTATTAACTGAAGGAACTCCGCTTGGTGTTCTTGAATTAGTCTTAAAAGCTGGGGGTTTTGCTTTCCAAGCTCCTGAAGCATAGGCTGTAACAGAAGCAGCAGTCTATACTCCACGACCAAGGTAATGAAGAATAACTAAAATTAACTGATACAAAGCAAAAGGAGAAGAGAATAAAAAAATTGTATACCTGTAAAATCTGTGGATTTGACTGCACCATTGAACGCAAAGCTTGAAACTGTAATGCAATAAAGTTACAGAAAACAATTAGTCAGTGGCAGGAAAAAGTTTTAACGAGCAATTAAGCACATCAGGATCTGATCATGTAATTCTTCAACATAAGCACCAAATATTAAATCCAACCACAACCCAAACTTTCCAAGTATATCAATCAATTACTATCTAAAAGATGTATGCATTAACATGATTATCAAATATACATTAAAAGAAAATGGATGTATTGTTGAATAAATTATGTCATAGTTCATTTTCTTATGATGGTCATGACCCATTACATTACTTTCAACACTGCTAATCCTACTACACATCACCAACAAAATCATATTAAAAGGAATGTAAGCCCACACATGTCAACTCTAGGACAATGATCGAAAGGAAATTGGATTCAACACATTCTGTCACTTTGATGCAATGCTTCAATATAATCCAATAAATAAAACAAATAGTGACGACACAGCTGTTACTAATAAATAAGGAACCACACCTGTTGATTATTTCTAAGGAAGTCCAAGGATCCAAGTCCACCAGCAGCAGCACCTGAAAGTGTCTCCTGAAAGAGATTCCAGCTAATTTGAATTACAATGTTCATAGAGAAGAAATGTCAAAAAAAAAAAAAATGGACCCATCAAATAAGGCCAGCCCAGGCATGAACCAAAATACTAGGCTTGCACAAATGGCATGACATGAATCCCAAGCTAAAGCACAAATCTCCTTTATTTTTCATTTTCAAAGTAAGACAATTGTATTTAATGCACCATAATACATTCTTTTCATTTTTTATTTCGTTGATACCTTCAAGTTATGTTGACACAATCATTTAATATATGTGTTCCTACGAGGTTAACATGAGTACTGCTAAACAACAAAAATAATTTTCAATTGTGACTGAAATGTGACTAGATTGAAAAAAAAAAAAAAAAAAAAAAAAATTAAAAATTTCTTAATCTTCAATAACAGGAAGCCAATTACTGAAATTGAAAGGATTGAAAACCAAAAAAAATAAATAAAAATTGAAATGAAGAAATGATGTCGCAATATCGTTTTAAAAAATACATACAAAAGAGACAAGATTTCACTTTTCTTTTCTTTTCTTTTAATATCTAATGTTATTTGCACTTGTGCCCGATGAGAAGATGAGAAGACTCCATAGACTTGTGGGCCTGTGCAACCACACAGCAGTTCACACTTCATGTGGAATTGTGGCATGCTGCTTCAATACATAGGTCTTCTCATGTTTTATAGCAAATGGGTGGTGTTTGGCTTGGGCCACACATGCCCGTGCCACACAAACCATTTCATACCTCCAAATTAGAGTAAACAAACAATTAGAATTCATCTACAATCTAAAAGTTTACCTGGGGAAACATATTCAACGGAGAGGAATTAGGTGCTCCAGACACCGGTGGAACTTCTGCTGCACCAGTTTCACTTGCCTGACTTGCCGGAAAGCGAGCCACCGGCACAGCAACTTCGGCCGTTTCAGGAATGCCCTGAAGGTAGATCAATATCAGTAATTAAAATTTACAAATTAACAAAACATATAAAACCATTAAAATTTTACAGATGAGAATTTATGGAGGTTATACATACAGAGTACAAGTAATCCACTGCTCGCTCTGGGTTATTATAAGCTGCTTGAAGAGCACGAGTAACAGTTTCTTTGTCCCAGGTTCCACCACCCATATCCATTATTTCTTGAATTGTCTGCTCAAGATCATTTCCAGCAACTAACGTTGAAGCAGCTTGACCATAGGTATCAGTATTCGCACTGCAGCACAAATGCAAAAAAAATTAGCATCATAATTAATATATCCTAAACATCATAAAACGAGTAATGCTACACTTACAAAGAAATCTAACAAAGACCTCCATACAAAGTGATGTGACAAAAAATAAATGGAAGAGTGAATATAATGAGTTTTGACTTTTTGTTTCACTCTTCCATTCATTTTTTGTCACATCTCTTTGTATAGAAATTTTTATAAGATTTTTTTGTAAGTATAGTATTATTGAAAACAAACACATGGGGACTGATTGAATATTATTTATTTAAAACATTCTTACAGAAAAGAAAAAAGAATACGGAGCAAATAATTCATCAAAATACTATTTGTACATTTCCTTAAATTTTTTCAACATAGTCAATCAATCATACAGCTGTTTCTCCCACAGTCTACATTTTATAATTAATCACTAAACTGAAATAAAAAAAAAATACTTTATACCAGTAAAAGGACTAAAAGAATTATCAAATAGTAAAATTCTAAGCAACTGCTTTCTCAAACAAAAATGTCTTTCTATTCAAACATATATATCTTGCACAAATGAGCCCAGAATATCCACAGTCCCATTTCTTCTAAGTATAAGTGATGTATTCATGAAATTATTTCTCATATAGAACAACCACAACCTTTTAATTTATATAGATATCATCATGACTTCTCTATTTGCAAAATGTGGTATAGAAACCAAAGGAAAATAAAATGACTGATAGACCAACAGATTTAGATATAACGTATCAGTGCATCCAACAAAAGCACATTCATCAAACATTTAGATTCCATAAGTATAGACATCTTGTCCAACTAAACAATAAATATAATATTGATAGAAACAAAAACCTGGGATAGAGATGAGTAGAGCATTTAAATGGATTATTGTTTAAGTTGTCAATGGTCTGACATGTCTTATCACTATCATGCTTGGATTTGTTGGAAGAAAATGAGAAATTCCGAACAGTTTTTACTTGAAAATGACGAGAGAAAATAAAAAAAGTGCTTGATTTGTGCAGATACATTGTTAAGTTGAGACCAGAGGAAACAACGGAAAATGATATGAAAAAGCTAACAGATAATGGGAGAAAAATCCTAATTATTTGTATAGTATGACATACAAATAAAAAATAATATAAGTGCACTTTTATTATCCCGATAAGGAAACACCCACTACTGTCCTATCTTCCACCAGCAACAAATTGAAAAGAAAGGGATCTAGCATTCAAAAGTTAAAAGGATAACCAAGTCAAATCATGGATGGTAGAATTAAAATCTCATGCTTGAGCTCAATATGCTGAAGCTACAAACGAGTTCAGTGCCAGTGCTTATGTTAAATTCCTCATAACCATGAAAAAGAATGTTCATGTTCAAAACTTCATCATCTATGCATTAACTCTGAATTCCAGCATATATAACCATATTTAACATATGAAGATAATCTAATGAACAGATAGAGCCCATACTAGCTGTTGTCGCATCGAAGCAGATGTGGTGGTCTTTGGAGCCCTGAAACATAATATATTACAAGATAAGCACGATAAATCCAGCAAATTCAAAAAAAAAGAAAAAAAAAAATTTTTTTGAAAAGACTAAAACCTACGGTGCTTGTGCAGAGGTTTCTGGTGCAGGTGTAGAATTGGAGCTCGGTGCAGTGTTGTGGAGGTGGTGGAAGCAGGCTGTCATTATAAAATGGAAGTAGTATTCATATATACATGAAAAAGAAGAAAGAGACGATGTCCAACAAACAGTAAGAAGAGCAGCAATAATACCTGAGCAGATGAAGCCCCAGCTAGCCCGAGTTTTACTCTGTAAAAAAAGCAAACACATTGAGATAATGGCAGTATAGATGCAATATGAAAAGGAATTAAACATACAAGGCTACATCAGAGCAGTCTAGACCCTATAAGTAAGATATATTTACAACAGGACCTATATAGACTAACAATTTAGAAGCAAAATTCAATTGTATTATATATACTGCGAAAATTCATATGTCAATGATTCATAAAAGTTTTTCACTTCCAGATATGTCATAGCTTCAGAGTTTTCTAGAAACTAACCCAAAATGGGACATTGCGGCTTTTTTCTGTTTCACTAGGGCATATTTCTATGAGATTTAATTGATTAAGCAATTTCTAGGTCCTGCATATTAATTGTAGAACTACCCTTTATAGTAAATGTAAGACACCAATCCAAAATAGGTGGAAAAGTACTAATCACTATGTTAAAAATCATCTCTATAAATCAATGCTTCTACTTTATTTTCCTTTCTTTGTAATTGTTTGCCAAGCAACATTAAAATGACAGGGTTTTCTATTTTTTTTCAGGCAGTTCTTTTGAATAATACTTAAAAAATATTTGCTAGAACAAATTAATACAAACAATTAATAATGTAAAGTTTGTAAAAGCTATGAACATTAGTAAAATAGTCATATTATTTTTGTTCTTGAAAGCATAATGTTTTATACAATTAATGCATAAGGATTTGTACAATTTTACAATTAATGCAATCATATGCCAAGTTTTGAGTTTCTATTATGTTTTTGAGTCATCTAGATTCCATGTGTCTGTTTCGTTATCCTTACACATGGAAGGTTGCGATAATTGATTAAGGGTATCTAGTCTCAGTGGTATTTTCTAAATTTAAGACTTTTTAATGTCTGGCTTTATCCTTCAGAACTTTCAATAACTAAGTAGAATTGATATGACAGCTATAAATGGTACATACTGAATAATCACATATTTCCTCAAGATGGAAGAAGATTCTCTTTAAAAGTAGTTTTGTCCCATCGCCTAAAGTTGAAAAATTCCCTAGGGGCTGGCATATTCAGGCTCAATACATTGTTGTATTCCTACAGTACTTCTCTTTCTAACCACACAATTACAAGTACACCTATTTTGATTTCCAATACAGGTGTGAAAATAGGAACAAGCATCCATATACCTACATGTATAGATTTATTGTGGACAACTTGTTCACTGTTTAGTAAATCCTTTTTTCTAATTAATAAGTTTTTCCAGTTTTCAAGAAATAATAAATAATGTAATAAAGACACCATCACTTGTTAGCCAAATAAAAACCAGTGAAATTATAACAAACTTTCTATCCTCGAATGACTGCGATATACAATACAAAAACCAATTTGATCACCAATGAACATAATATTGAATAAAATAACTAGAATGCATCTAAACCAATGGTTTGCCACAACATAAGCCAAAATCAATAAATGTAACATTACAATATAAAATTACTCCTTTCAAACAATGTACACGTATTAATATCCTCTTAGGATCTGACAGTAGCCAATGATCCCAAACCTATCTAATATAACTTCTTTTCCAAGCATTCACATAAACTTGTAAAGTCTCAAAGTATTCTACAATTTCAAACCCAGTGCACACATATATAAACTTAACCTTTTTTTTATTACAAAATTCCTTCTTTTTTAAACATACAAATGTACTATTACCTTTATACAATTACATACTCTCCCATTTCTAACCTAGGGCCACTAGTGTACGCTTTAATAAAATTCATTTTTTAACAGTGCAAAAGTACTATAACCATGTATGCCACCACTCAAACCCTGTGTACACTTATAAATTTAACTTTTTATGACAATTTACACATTACCCATCACCCTCATAGCATCAACAACAATCTCCTATTTTGAAACCGGCACCATCAACATATAGTCCAATATAAAAAATAATAATAAAAATAAAAAAAATATTTTTTCAACAATACAAATGTATTATAACTCTTGAAAGTTCACACAAGAATATATAAAAATAATAAATAACCTAAAAAAAAATTACCTTGCTAAGCATACAACAGAAAAACCATCTTCAGAGACTTTATTATCAGCTAAAGTTGTCTCACTTTCAACACTTACCATTGTGAATTAACAACTGTTGCCACAAGGGTAATTGTTTTCCTTGTACATTTATGTTCTTCTTGACAGCCATACCTTTGGTTCGACATACCAAAAACGACAAGCTATTCATCAGTAAACGACATAAAACACTAATAACAAATAAATTCTAAATTCTATTCGCATAATTAACATAAACGATAGTGAAAACGACGACGTACCGTATCGGAAGGCTGAACCTTAATCTCGAAATGGCTGCCCTTGAGAGTCTTTACAGTGAGCTTCATTGGCGAATTGGGAAGAAGGAGGGTCGAAACGACAGCGGTTTAATTCGGTTATGTGTAGTGTAGAAGAAGAGAGACAGAGAGCCCTAGAAAACGCTTTTTAAGTTTTGAGGGAAGGAGAATAAAAGGAAAATGGTATATATTAAAACTCCCTAAAGTTTATAGAAATACACTGACACCTTTAAAGTTTTAAATAAATGGATGATTTTGATAAGTGATTATAATTCAATTCATAATATTCTTTTACTTCCTTTTTTTTTTTTTTTTTTTTTTTTGACTTTAGAGGGAAAAAAAGTTTGTTGATTGAGAAAGTCTTCTCGTATATAGTCAAATATATTTGTTTCTCGTTTCCAAAATTAAAGTTTTGAAGAATTCTAATGTGAATTTGATTTTGCAAAGGCGAGGTCATGATTTATGGGCTATAAAAAAAAAAAAAAAAAAAAAAAAAATGTAGTTAAGTTAAAGTTTGGAATAAATTGATATAGTTGTAACATAATTGTTTATTAGATTGAAGCTCACAAACTTCCGAAAAACCATAAAAAACCTCATGTAATACTAACTTCCTAAACTATGTATTTGGATTGTTATATTATTACTAGATACAACTTATTTACATTCAACGACACAAAGATTACATATTACTTGAGACAGCGATTTAAATACTTTTGATACCGTGTGGTGTTTTTATAGAATATTAAATCTCCTTAAATATTATTTAAAAAAAAAAAAACCATTTTGGAGGAGGTTTTGATGTTTTTTGAAATTCTGAGTACCTTTAATTTAAAAGCCCTCATAAAATACATAAAATTTAACTTGTAATTCCACTAACAATCAACTCTAGTTGTTCCCAAGTTTATAATGTTATTTTAGTTACACTGTGAAATAAAAACGTATAAAAGTATTACTTCTAGTTTATAGAAAATTCTCTAAAACTATTAAAAACTCCCCTAATTTTTTTTTTTTTTTAAATCTCTATTAAATAGTCTACTAGTGTCAATCACGTCTGAACAGTTGTTGCATAGCTCCTGACTACAAAGTTGTTATACAGTATGCAACGGATGCATGCGCATTGACACTAAACATTCACCTTGCTAAATTATCGTATAGTTTTGAAAAAAGTAATTAATACTTTCCCATCTATGCTTTTCATATTAAGTAATACCATAGGTAAATAAAATAAAATAAAAAAATAAAATAAAAAAGTTTTTGTTATATTCCATCTATATTACTTATAATCCTTAAAATATAAATAAAATCATTCACACTCGTTAATGTTTGCTTCCTGTACAATTTGTCTATGGTTAGCTTTGCAAATTTATTTATTATTATATTTTTTTTATGTAGATGCTAAAATGGACTTTTATCTTGAACCCAAAGTTTCCAAGAAGCTCTCACATGTCATGCATGGTAATTATTTGAGCATTTGCTACATAATAAAATTCATTCATTGTGACAAATCTAGAAATAAAATATATGAAAATTTATTTGTTTTCATTATAAAACAAAATTTTAATATTTATGGTAATAAATAGTTCATAAGTGTGAATATGGATAAATTAGGTATTTAAGTTGTTAAAGTATATAGTTTTCAAAATCTTCAAATCTAGTTTAAAATTTATATTAATGGTTCATCAGAAATATTTTTGTATATAAATTCATAACAACTTAAAAATTTGATCAAACATATAATTTCTTTTTGTGTAACATCAACACACTTGAATCCACCATTTAATTGTTATATATTGATGGATATAATTATATAAAAAAAATTATTTTAAATTGAGTAATAATGTATCCCATATTTATAATCGTTTTCTCCTATATCTCTTAATACAATACATCGCTCTCTTACGTTAATCTTACATAATGATGTGGCAACTGACGGAACAGATGTCATTCATCAGTTGTGTCACCCACACACTATCACGTCACTTCCCTACAATTTTTTTTTTTTTTTTTTTTTTTAAATTCCCCAACCCTAAAGTAAAGAGTCAAGGAAAGATGGTTTCATTGTTTTGCATGCACTTTACTTTTAATTTAAATTGTCTAAATCAGTCTTAAAATTACTATATTATTACAGTGTTCATTTGAAAATTACTATGTTATTAGGAGTGGTTGGGAGCTTGTTCGAGTTTCCAAATTTGGTGTCCGAGAGAGAAATCAAGTGGAAATTCAAACAAAGGTGAGTGGCAGCCAAAGAACGGAAGAACGAAGCAATATCCAATTTTTCTCCCAAATCGCAAACCCTTATTTTTTACAAAAATGCTACAGACACCAAATGCTGGTACCAAAATTTTGCACCAATCTATGTGGCATCTGACTTGGACGTGGCCACGTAGGATACAACATATGCATTCAGTAAATGAACGGCCGTCCAACAATTATGGATGTCCGTCCATATCTTATGGACGACCATTTATCATGAATAGACGAGAGTCCAGAAAATATCAATGGACTCCTGTCCATATATTATGGACGGGAGTCCCTTTACTGTGGACGACCATCCACATTATATGGACGGCCGTCCATATAATTTTAAAGCACAGAGTATTGGACGCCAATCCATCTCAAATAATTTATTTTTTTTAAATTTACAATTTCTTTTTCATTTATAAAAACCTATGGCTTGTTTAAGTGAAAATTTTTAGATGAAATATTCATTTTTAAAGCACAAAACTTCTAGATGAAATAAAGGGGAAAAAAAAACTTTGATTTTTAAAGTTTAAAGCATGGATGCTAGTCCATCTAATGAGGATAAATGGACGGCCATCCAATGAGATGGACTGCTGTCCATACTCAAATAATTTTTTTTTTTAAATTTACAAAAAAAAAATAAAAAAAAATGCAAAATAAGAGAGACAGAAAAAAAGTACTCACAATTTAGAATTTTTTTTAAATTTTTTTTAATTAAACTAGAATTTGGGTAAGGACGGCCGTCCATTGTATATGGACACCCGTCCATTATTTGTTTTTAAACTTTTTTGGACGGGCGTCCATCTTATATGGACGCTCGTGCATAGTAAATGGACACCCATTTATATTATATGGATGGGAGTCCATTGATATTATCGTGGACGATTGTCCATTCGTGATGAATGGTCGTCCATAACATATGGACAGCCGTTCGTGTAAGATGGACGGTCGTCCATTCACGGAATTAGTATTTTCTGTCCAACGTGGCTACGTCTTAGTAGATGCCACGTCGTCCGGTAAAAAATTTTGGTGCACAAATTCGGTGTCCGTAGCATTACTCTATTTTTTATTCAAAAAGCATAATTACAAAATTGCCCCCTTTTTGGTAAAATTTTAGTTAGGTCCCAATTCTTAAACTAGTTCTAACCCAGGTACCTGGATCTTGATTTTGGTTTTGATTCCTAAGTCAGTTTTAGTTTCTTAAACTAGTAAAACCGGTATCAGAACCGCACAGTACCAGTTCCACCCATTAGGGAACCAAAACCGACCCTATGAGGGGTAATTTCGGGTAGGAACCAAAACCAGCATCCTAGGTACCCATCGGTTTTGGTTATACCTGGGTCTACTTGGGAGTTTCATGATAGCTGTTATGAGGGTAAACCACAGTAGCGATTTTGAGGGTAAACCACCGTAACGGTTTTGATGGATTTTTAGTAGCGGTTTTTAAAACACTCAACCTGTGCTTGAGAGTTTATTTTCCAGTAGTTTTGATAGTTTTTTAAAATGATAAATTTACATATATGCCCATAAAAATACCTCAACTTCAATCAGTACTTAGGAGTTTTGTTTTTTCAATTACAAGGTAAGGTTCTTTATTTGTTTTCTATTTATTAGTACTTTATAACTTCAAATGTGATAAAGTTTCCTTATCCTTCTTCACCATTCTTTGTAGCATTTAGAATGATTGAAAAATTTAACCCCACTTCTCCAAGGAAGCATCAAGAAATGAGATTTTAATAATTTCCTTTTTTTAATAATTGCTTAAAATTATTTTATATTTAATATATTTGGAGATGGGCATAATATGGTTAAAATCTTTTTTTGGATGTAATTGGGATAGTTTTGTAGTGGATAGGATATTTGTAGAATAAAATTTTAAAACCAACCAAAACACCCCGATTTGAGGGGTTTTATAAACCCTTCAAAAGTACACTACACTGATTTTGAGGAGTTTTTGACCCAGTCAAAACCAATGCATAAAAAATCTGGCAAGTAATGGTTTTAGAACACCTTAAAACCAGTCTAATTAAAAACCCCTCAAAACTAGTAGAAAAAAAAACTCCCAAACAAACCTTAAATTCTTGCACACCCCTAACAGTAGGGAAGGTAGTTGGATAATTTGAATGACACAGAGATTGACTTGTCAATTTTGCAAACCATAGGGGTACTATTAGTGTATGTGCCCTAAAACCAATGATAAATGTAAGGTTTAGGGAAATATTTATATATAAATTTTGTAATGTTTTATCATTAATAAAATGACAATTATTCTATGCGACTTTATCTCATCTATATTTAATTAAGTTGCGTATGTCCTTGAGCTTGTTTTGGAAAGAATTCTATTTTCAAAGAGTTTAAGAATATGAGTATTGAGATTCTTTCATGTGACTCACTCTTAAGTATGTTCCTGATAAGATGTGATAATAATCAAGGCAATATTATCGCAAGATCAGTATTACTGTGTGTCATCATTAATTAGCCTGAGATGTTGATGGTTGGGTGATGCAACTCATATCATAAGAGCATGAGTAATGAGGTGATTTATTAGAGAATGAAGCATCGAGCGTGACTGGTGGACGATTGATCACATGGGTATATTATCTTCAGTCAACGATCATCGTTATGTGCATTAGTGTCACTTTATCCCTAGACCTGAGATGGGATCATGTCTTGCGCATGGGAGCTTGTGGTTCTTCAATACGTTATCACTAGATTGTTTATATCTAGTGTGTAGTGCTTGTTGGTCATGAGTTAATCATGTACAAAGTCATATGCGTATTTAATAAGGAATCTGATGGCTCGGATATTAC